TCTTTGTCGGCTCGCTCACAATCTGGAGTCAGTTCAAAGAAGAAATTTACTGCTTTCAAATTAGACATTTCACCAAGCCGCTTGGCGATTCTGATTAGAGAGTTCTTGGGCAAATTTTTCATTGTAAAAGGATAGCTAGCTGATGTGCAAGTGAATAGTAAGATTTCATGTACTCATACACTAACGATATGCTATATTATCCACGATATGAGATACTATCGTGGGTGTATGAGTGCAAGAAATTTTATTATCTCCTTATATGTGGATAATGATTTCTTAATTTGCCTATACACATATTTCCTCTTAATAAATTCATACATATCTACAGAAGACAGAAATTTTCGATGGTCGATTTCGATTTTCGACCCAATTGTCATAGGCCCATAATCTGATTCATGGGCTTCTTAATCTAATAGAGACTACTCTTTCTCGGTCAACCAAAAACCAAATGTACTACTTCACTCGCTCTCTAAGTAACTTTCATGGGAATTCCCGGCTGAACACACAACGTGAAAACTTGCAAGCAAATAGAATAAAAGATCTCATTACAGGAATGTGCACACTGTGAAGTTCGACGGACAAGGATAAGCATGAGTAAGGGTGTTGGAGTAAGGTTGACTCGGGCTTGTAAAGTATTTAGTTCGGAAAATTGCATTAATAAATGGAATTGCATCGAAGTGGAGGAGAGTGAAAAATGATTTGGGTTTAGTAGCTGTCAAATGCATCCGATATACCCAGGGACCATGGAACCAGGAAATCTAAAGAGACTCTTCCTCATATATTATGTTAAGGTTTGAAAATCTAGTAATTCTAGTGTTTACAACATATCACGATGCCGGTCTGAGTCCATAGAGTGAAAAGTGACAAGACAAAACTGTGTTTAGGAGCAGAAAATTTACGCTAACCTCTTCTCCAGGAGACGTCTGCTCCAAATTGTAATCTGATGCTGAGTTGTTCAATTGAGTTGAAAAATATACGTTTCCTAATGCCGAGTCGAAGTAGAAAGACGTGTTGTCACATGCATCCTATCTTGTATCTGTCACTACTCAAACCAAAGATTAATGAAGCAATGATAGTTACAGCAACAGTCTCCATTGTACACTATGCTATTCTCTATTTTATACATAGTCTCTATATATACTACTCCACTATTCCATGCTTTCGAAGTTGAAAATTATCACAGTTGCCACCATGTTCTAAGCTAATTACTGACGATGAAAGATGATGATGGGGAAAACTCCGCTAGTTCCTTATTTTTTCTTTCATAGGAATTAACATGTGTGCCCAGACATGACGGAGGCCAAATGCCACTTACCTCAGATTCCCAATGCCCGCTACTACAGGCCAGAGATGCGGATCCTATGGCAGGGTCGTAGCCTGTCACAAGTTACACATCAAATTTATGTGTATCGCTCAGTCATGAGCAACGAAGGCAAGGTTGATTCTTAAGGAGTATTCACATGGAGGTAACTTCAAAATTGGTCCCGTATTGCGTCTGCGAAGTCATACTGATCGATCGATATTAACCTGAATCTAATCACTTTGCTGTTCGAGTGACAAAGAATGTTCTTCATGTACGGGAGCAGGACACATTGCGATGAAGCTACTGCAGGAAATGATTGCTGAACTCTAGATGTATGTATAAAGAGGTCAAGGCCATAGGTTCCACAGAGTTTCATACTGCTCTTGAGGTTCTGATGATCAATATACGCGATTAGATGTCTGCAACTCACCAGTGGCATTTCGAAACGTCGCGCTGAAATTTGTAAGCAACCTCCGCCTCAAATGTCCTGCAGTAGATGTGAACATTGAGGGCTCTCAGTTTTTTAGCATCAGTGCAAGTATCTAGAAATGTGTTGTGATGTTTCATTCAGCCATCTGAAGGTCATGAGGGCTTATTGAAATCTTTTCATTCTTGGTCCCTGGCTAAATATGGCTGATGTCTTGTATTAGCACTATAGCTGAGTGTAGAAAACTTTACGATGCCGATGAATGGTTCGGCTGCTATGTTGAGCCGTAGTCTACATGTTTGCACAATGGAGTTGAAATCTTACAGGTTGAAAAATATTCATTCAATTTAATTTTCATCAATGATTGCAGCTCTCCACATCATACTGACCGGATCTGATGACAAGTTTACCTTGCTTATTTCGGTGATCTCTAACCTCAGTTTTGTCCTGAGGACGAATTAAAGAATGGGATTCAATATTAACGAATGATTAAAAGGGGCAACGGGATAGAATCTGAATGGTCAGAAGAATTGCTAGAAGAATTCATAAGTTGTAAGTAATCTAAAGAATTATACCAACTCTACTAGCTTCATTCTTGAACAAGGATAGCAAGATGTAATATGATATAAGCGTTTTCCATTAGAGGTCGTTGTAACTCTAGTCTTTCTTCCACTAAAGTCAGAGCTAGATTAATGCTCGTGTTTTTACCAAATCGAGCAACAGCCGTACAGTGAATGTCAAGATCGGCTATGGCATTCTATGAATGAATCTGAAATTATAGTAGGAAAAATAATTTGAATGCAAACTTTCTAAGACTACATGAAATGCATGTGATGAAAGAGGAAGGAAATTAAATAACTGGAGATATCAATTTAGGAAATTTATAAAGACTAAGAGAATATCTTCTATGTGTTTTATCGTAGGAAGTAAGCTAGATCTAGTTAATGGTATTATATTTATAAGTGAATGAATGAACTTCTTTGAAACAACGAAACGCCGTGTAATAAGGGCTGGTGGCAGCTTCCAATAGATATGCATGATAGCAACTTTACGTCGCTTTCGGGAGTATCGATTCAATCTTTGCATCTAAATTACTCGATATGATTGTATCCAAGTTACAGAACGCATTGACAATAATCTTTTCTTCTATATAATTTTCATGGATTGATATCTCTAAATTTGTACTATGCATATTCTTTCCATCCACATACCTTACTATACAAATTTACGTGAGCTCTTGGAAGACTACAAATCCAAGAGCTCACGTGAATTCTGATTCTCACAGTGAAGATAATTGTGCAACAAGTTCATGAACCGGCCATCGTAACACTATAAGGTAGGTTACTGTTACCAAGGATCGACTATGCGCTGACGAACGAATGTCATTGAACCCTGTTGATTGAAGTTGTAACTTTCACCAAGTCTAGGAACTTATTAAGAGCTTTCAAGAAATTCAACAAGCACATCTGTACTAGTCGTTGAAAAGTTTATGTACCCGTTGATAGAATGTGAAATGATTATGGCTTCTACTCCAGAATCTCAGATCCTGCGAAATTACGTGACAATGTGTTAGAGTACTACCAAAATGGTGTCTGATGTACAGCTGTGTACATTCTGTCTGGAGCTGGAAGTGACGATGAGTATTCATAATACTAATCAGGAAAAAAATTCAACGTTCTTGACTTTTCATTAACTGCACTGATGTGTTCCAAAGTTTACTCAGGGCTCCTGCACAAATGAACACATAAACTTCATAGAGGTCTGTTTACATGAGCTTATTGATGAGATGAACTCCGAAAACCAAGAGTCTCATAAACACTAACAACCAGCTGGTCTGGTGTCCCTAAATTAAGGTATCAAGCGTTCAATATTGTCCAGTTGCATAAGTGCTTTTACATGAACAACTGAAGTGTGAGGATTGTATTCTGGTTGTCAGTATGCACATTGCATACTAACAGTGGGCATAAAATCACACGATTTGTTTATCTGACCTCTATAAAAGCCATATCAATAACAATGGAGTATATTGCAACCGGATACTAGAGGCACCCGTTGTGGAAATATGAGCACGTGCTTACGTACTATTTCATTTTTTGTGACAAAAGTATATGCTCTGAGTTATTATACCCCAAAAAAATGTCACAGATTTCATAAAATAGCAAGGTGGATAAGGTACAACGTTTTCAAAGTTAATATCGTTAGCATCAGTCTTATCAAATAATCCGTTTTGGAGGATACTGTTGTAAAAACACATTTAATCACCTTACAGAATTTGCTTTGGGGCATTACCCACGGGTTATTGTGAGAAGAGCAAGAATTTGTAGTATATGGAGCACAAGGTGAGCTTGAGTCAATTGTTAGTTCTAGATGTCCTTGTTTATACTCCAGTATCGTTGTGAATTTTAAAATTTTTCTACGAGACATAAAGCTCCTTGGATAGAGTTGGATTAGATCATCAAACACGTAAGTACAACCTGTTGAGCTACAGTCAGTTACACCGAGCATAGCATGATCTTGAGGTTCACTAAGTGCTAAGTGAGTTTGAATCAATCATTCTTAGTGTTTTTGTCACATTTATTATTTAGTATATTATGGTAATCTTGTGTGATAGTCTGAGTTGTGAAATACAAATCTGACGTAGAGATATTGATAAGATGCTCGAAATATTTACTCATGTTACCGATCTCATGGCGACACTGTAAAGATTACTCCAAAATGATCATGAGTTTAAGACTAAGACATGTGCATGATTATTGGTATTTCAACGCTTTTGCACATTCAGAAGAAGCAGTGAAAGGTTTACTAAAATTGGCACCTTTGTAAATGAAGGAGAGCTATCTGAATCTTCGCAACGTTGGGCATGTGAGTATAAGGCATGTGAAGTGTAGTTCCTGAGAATCCTCTTCATGCCCAGATGAACAACTCAGATTGTGAAAGTAGTTTGAATAAGAAAAATAAATAAATATATATATGTAAACATACAGATCCGACCGCGGTTCGGGATTCCAATATGGATTTGATTGTCCGGTAGCCTCTGAATTACAAAGTTCTGTAGAGCGATGAAATTTTGTAACAATTAATTTGTCAAGTACTAAAAGATGTTTTCGTTTGCATTTTCTTGTGTCAAAGGCGCTTTGTGATTATTTTGACATTGAGAGATCGAGTAAAGCGTCGTTAAAACAAGCGAAGAAAAAGAAAGTAAAAGAAGGAACGGTTTCGGTCCAGATGCCATCTGAAGCACGCAGATGCAGACATTTGGAGGGGGTTGACGAAAAAACTCTTCTTTATTTTGTTCATGGCTAACCTCAATGGAAAGGCGAAGCATTCTCTTGCTCTGAATCCTAGACTCTATCTCTAATCATCTCGTTGAAATCTTGCTCATGTGCATATCTGTTCAAACAGCAGCAATCCATGGAGGAGGCCCGCCTCTCTACCCTTGCTGGATACTGATCATCATCATATACATACTTCCCATGAGCTTTCAAGATTTTCACACATGTTAGCCTTCGCCTCCAGAAGCTGCGGCTCTCAGCACTTCCCACAACATTCTCAAGCCTAACTTACAGACTCGGCATGGCTCGATTATTGCGACCCGTCGACTGTGCCAGCTCGATTATTCGGATCTCGCAGGGCCTTTTGCTGAAGCAATTTCGGCTAATTGATCCCTCTGGATCTAAATTGTACACGGACTAGAAAATCATGGACATCTGCTAGTTTACATTGCGGACAAGCGGCAAAGAAGGAAGAGTGGGCAGCAGGAAGTATTTTCCAAGTGGAAGGCATCGGATTATGTACTGGTTGTAGAACGCTGCCAGAGTTGCGCCGATGAAGGGACCGACCCAGAAGATCCACTGCACTCTCACACACACATCCACAGTCCAATGCTTCAGTCGATTACGTCATCGAGCTATACATGAATATGTTCTCTCCATAGCCAGACGGAGAAATAATCGAAACTCGAAGTGCAGACCCTAAACTCGAATGGATTGCTTTGAGATCCAGGTTTATGTGTACCCACCTGATCGTCCCAAGCAAGCTTGTGGCCCCACAGAGCAGCCGGGCCAAAGCTTCGAGCGGGGTTGATTCCCGTTCCTGTGATTGGAATAGTGGCCAAGTGCACGACAAATACTGCCAATCCGATGGGCAGGGGGACAAGGACCTGCAGTGAAGTGTAGAAGAATCATCGCATTATTCTAATGGCAAGATTGTGGATTAGCGTTCGGGTTGTACTCGACCTTCTAGCTCTGGCTTGCCATGCATAATTGATTTTACACAATGTGCACGTGCTGGACCCGGCCAGCCAGCCAGTGCAGACCTGCAGATTTGATCACATGCGAGGGTGAAAGTGGGCTCACTTACAGGCACATAGGAGTCACGAGCTCTGCGTTTGGCATCTGTTGCCGTATACACCACGTATACCAGAACGAAGGTCCCAACGATTTCCGCCGCCAGGCCTGTGGAGTTGCTGAAGGCTGGATTTACAAAGTTTGTACCACCATTGAGTTCGTCGAAAGGAACCTCCTGCAGAGCTTTCACGAGTCCGGCTCCACACAGGCTTCCCAGCATCTGAGCCACTACGTACACGAGGGCACGGTTCACGGTAATTCTTCTACCCAAGACCAGGCCCAGGGTGACGGCAGGATTGATGTGTCCTCCTGTTCACACACTTGCATCAGCAGTGAAAATGTAATATACACTCACGTTATCACAGCAGCAAGGACCTTTCACTCAAATGATAATTTCTGCCTTCGTTTTATAATCACAAGCTCATCGGTAAAGTGAACATTCCCATCAAACTGCTTGAGTTAATTTCATGAATCTAATGACTTTGTATATGAATATGACTGCAATGTTTCACATTCGTTTTCATGGATACTTTTGTGAATTAATGTAAGATTCTTCAAACCACTAATGGTGTGTGAAGTGTAGAGCCGTAAATCATACGACCAGCACTAGAAGAGTTATCAAACTGCGGGCAGTAAGGGGAAATGAAAGCATAAAAAGCTCATTTCGAAATGAAATGCTCTTTCAAATGGATGCATTCACTCACTCTATATTTGTGTCCAGCAAATTTTCAGTTTTCACGTCTGTCTAAAATGATACGTTTTAGAGGCAGATCTATAATTATGACCATGAGTTTGATACTATCATTGATACATTTGGACGTGAAGGATATCCGAGGAGAGGGAGGGGACGAAGCTTGAATTGGAGATGAATGACGGAATGAGAATTCTGGGTGATAGAGGAGGATGGAAGCACCTGATACTCCGGCAGTGCAGTAGACTAGAACGAAGATGGTTGCACCAAATGCCCACGCAACTCCAAGAGAACCCACTCCATTCGGTGTCTCCCGTCCATTACCGATAGCAGCCGACACTCCGATGTACACGAAGAGAAGGGTAGCAATGAACTCCGCAATGGCTGCTCTCCAGAACGACCGGTTGAATTCCGATCCATCCCAAACCGGATGAGGCTCCGGCTCCTCGAAGGCTTCGGCATTTTCGTCGACTTGTACAGCAAATCCTCCATTCTTGTAGATTAGTTTCAAAGAAATTTCTGTTCCGTTATCGTGACCTCGGGTGCTGACGGATATGACTCTACTGTCATCTTGAATGCTGGCCATGACTATGACGGATGATGCTCTTGTGTAAACCTCCTGAACCCGGAACAGAACGACGCACTCGAACTTCAAGACAAGCAATTCTATTCACAGAGCTCGAAATCGAGCTGAGATTTTGAAGGACCTCAGAGCTGCATCGATGGTACTGGTCGTCTGTACTTGACTGTGGCGCAGTGCTGCCACCTACGAATATCAATCGCTTCCGTTCTGTCGACGACGAATTTCTGAACGAGTATGGCTAATTGATTGCAGTCTCTGTCGATTTGAGGAACTTGCCTGCTTGCAGCCGAAGGGAAGCCGAGCTAGTGAAACTAATTAAACATATGAGATCTGCTTCTTCGAGCTCACGACGAAGTCAGAAGCAGCAGTAGCAGTCAAATGGTCCATACAATTGACAGATTAAGTTTCTAACATCGCAGGCTTGGAACTGAGGATTTCCTACCCTTTTGGTGAGCTCCGCTCTAGTATTTCTCGAGTGTTGGTGAACCTGGAGGAGCCTGAAAAGGAAGAGGACCACCAGTGCTGTCAGCCAGCCACTGTGAAGACCTGAAACTGGAGAGAGTCTTGAGAAACGAAGCCGTCCCTTCGAGCTCTTATACTGCACACGCAGACCCGCCCATTCCAGAGGTTATGCAGACGCACCCGGAGATTATAAAATTTGCCAGCGGATAACTTTTCCCAGGAGATTCGGCCGGCGCCACTTTCCTCAATCTCCTGATTGCTCGATGGGAGTATGATGTGGCTTGATGCGGACGCTTCAGAGCTGACTACACTTCGGCAGTAGATTTCAGGCAGACCTTGCGCGTGCCTGTCAATTGCTGAAAAGGTTTAGCGAAAATTAGGCCCACAAACAAATCCTGTCTTCTACCTGGAGCCGATCAAATATTTCACGCTTTCTGCATCATATCTTCTTCCTGATCCTCCAAATTGTCTTCGTTAGAGAACTGTTGGCCCAACAGTGCTCACATGTCATATCTGTAAACCAATGGGTGCCCTCAATTTGTGTCCTGAATGAACGTCGATGCAGATAAAATACAACACGTACAATCAAGTTTTTTGTATAGACAGGCTCATGTGGACAGATAGCCATACCACTTGTGGATGGAGGTAGGGACTGCTTCAGTTTCTAAGAATTGTAATTATGTATTTCATTTGGTTGAGTCCGCTTGAGCTGAAAAGAGGGAACTGAGAATCTGTGCGAGAATTGTCCTTCTCTGAGACTGCAGCTCAAGCCACAAAAGTCAAAACTCGCTTGCCACTCACCACTTACAGTGATGATGGCGTGAAGTTTGGAATCAGATGACTCTTAAGCTTTGGTCAAGGTGTAGTGAGTGATCAAAGCAAGTCTGTGACGGGCGGTGCCCAAGGCATGGGCATAGTTATCGTGATCAATATTTTCAGGGGTTTTAATGAGAAGAACGTGACTCCAACCTCACACCGCAAGTGTAAGAGGTGTATGCACATTAGTTCGGCACTGGACTTAGTGCGGGGAATCGCCATTGGTCCCATGCAATGAGGCCCCATCCGCTTGAACCATGAAGGGCCATGCGACTGGTCTGGTCTGGTCTGTTCTGTTCGTTCCGAGCAGCTTCTCAGCATCTTTCCATGCCCAGACTTCAAACTCAGGTCGCCTGCAGTTCCTTAAGTTGCTCATTCGGGCCTGTTGTCAATTAATTGCTTTCGACTCATGAATCTCCTTCTCATGTCTTTGAGGTTCTTTCACCCACCACAGCAGCAGCTTTTGATCAATCAGATCGTATTTTTGCTCGTGCATCCTGCAATCTTCGAGCGATCGAGCTTAGGTTCTCGTCCATCCTACTTCGCATGAAAATCGTTGACACAACTGCATCAGGGAACGATCCTCCTTATAATTGCTGCTGATCTATTTCGCAGGATTAAACTGCTCCAAGTTTTGTGACCCAGAGACAAATTTGAGAAGGCTGTAAGGAAAAAGCAGTTTCTGGAGCCCATGTTGCGAATGCCTCAAGCCGATGGGCTGGCTACGTGGAGGAGGTACCAACGTGAGCTCACAGCGTGGTGATAATGTCTCTACGGTCCTTCTGTTTGAAGATTGAAAACGAGTTTGTTCTCTTCTGTCATTTGATTGAAATTCGATGGGACTCGTTTGTATTTTCTAAAAAGATGTAGTTTTAGACGAGAGAAGCAACCAATCAAATGGAATTGTCTTGGCCTTCATCCCTCCTTCGACGATCGAGGCTTTGGTTTCATGCCAGGAGAATATGTCTCAGAGGAAACTGCATCGCTCGCTCGAGGCTGGTGGTACTTTGTATCCAGATCAATGCCTTGAAGGTAATCACGGTGGTTGGTTCATCACGACCATTATGAGTACCCTCTGTGACATCTGAAAGCTTTTCTTTGACTTCCTAAAGCTGACACGAATCTGTACTTGTGGGAACTCTTGCATATTCGGTACATTCAGCCAATGCCCTCGAGCTATAACATGCTTCTATGCTTTCCACAGGATTCTGGGTTGTGATTGACTCTTCTCTCTGCTTGTCTATGTTAACGGTCGATATTAGCAATAATATGCTTCGAGTGTTCATAGAGGGCCTGAACATCATCTTCGATTTAGGTAAATTATTCATTACATTAAAATAATAATATAAAATCATATATAAAATAGTATTGATGTATATATAATAATAAATTCTAATATATTCAATATTCTCCTATTTTTTATATTGTATTTATATGTATTTACTTACTTACTCAACACGATTGGGATGCATCTTCATATGGATCTAATCCTTTTTCTCATGTTTGTAAATCAAGATGACCACAGGGGTGACTGATTATTTACACTATCATGTCAAATGGAAACTAAAGTAAAATTTCCCCTGCTGTTTGTAAATATTGCTGTAGAAATGCTTTTGCTGTCATTGTTGATGACCATTGCTTCTCTGTTGCAGTGAAACACCACAAATTCAATGCGGCCTTGCATATTCATTGATATAACAGAGATTTCAAACTATTCCATAAATTTTTTATCAAATTTAAGCTTTGATTAGTTTATCTAATATACTTTGATGCGGTTTCACAAATGCAACAGGAATCTGAAAAGAATCATTTCAGCTTTCATTGATCAATTTGATATCATTGTACTTCCAATACTATGTTTTGGTATTATTATCCTTCGGCTTTGATTTATTGGTGTTGTCCAGCGAGGAAGATGCTGATCTGTCCCACCAGTCACTTCGAGCAGAATCAGCAGATCGGCTCCAAATTTTTTTCACCTTCAAGCAGGCTGGACTTTAAAGAATGTTACGCTACAGACGGCAGTGATTTTACATCTGAAGTGGAGAGGGAATCCTGCAGATGCAGATTCTACTTTCCAGAAGATAGTTGAGAGTCGAACGCCAACATGTCATTAAATATATATAAATCACCAACTTTTTTCTATACAGGCTAGTTTATGATTTTTTTATGTTTAGTTTTGATGTTTTATTATTTCTTCGATGTTTTTGTCCTTGATTGCAGATTTGGCTCTTGGCGGTGTGCGGGAGAAAATGAGATTTGTGTTCTCAAATTTGACAGGTGGTTCATAGATGCAATACATCAGATTGTGAATTTTAATTTGAAGCTCATGGAGTTGGCGAAGTTACTAAAGAGCAAACTGGAAGCATTGCTCGATGCATACACTGCATCTAGCATTGCTTCCAGTTTGGAATCATTTGGAAAGCACTTTGTTCAGGATGTGGCAACCAGGCAAGATCAATCTTGAAGTATGTAAAAGATGATTAAAGATGCAAGCACAAATACATGTAAAGAAGTGAAAAAATGTCTATTTGTGAAGGTAATTTGTGCCTATGTTTTGATTTTTACTACTTGATAACTCAAATTATCATAAAAGGCAGTTGTGGACGGCGGAATTTGAACCAATGACTACAGATGAGAAGCACAATTGATCAGTTTTAAGCAGGTAGGGATACTTCACAAACATTTTGTTGAAAGCAAAGAAACATGTGGACAAAATATAATAAATTGGATCATCTTGCTGCGTGAAAAAAGCGATAGAAAATGTGAACATACTCAGAGAAAATAATTTTGAAATTTTTCTCAATTTTGATGCAATCCTTGCTTTACTCACGAACAGTGTGAAGAAACTTTCCAGATGGAAGGCATGTTGCATGTTGATTCATGGATCATAGAAGACTAAATATACGTAGATTTGGTTGACAACCTTCAAAATTTGATGAGAGAAAAGAGTGAAAATCCCCATGCATAGATTTTAGCAAGTGTCAATAGTTTATTATATCACATAATGATGTCATCGCTTAAATCAGTTTCTGTTTGATTTTAGTCAAATTAAGTATGGTTAGTTATATAAGGTTCACAACGATTATATAAAAATATTCACAGTAGCTTCATGTGATACAAATAAAGTCTCAATGACATGAAAGTGTGTACCATGCACATACTCACTAAGTTGAATCACGAATGTAGCTTTCTTGTCATTGTGTATTTGGAATATATAAAAAAACTAATACCAACAAATCAATGTAAATGTACAACTAAAGTTTGCTATAGCAATGAATGTACAATATTATCATTAAACACTGAAATTAAAAGTAAAATATTATATTCATTATATATAATGCTATTGTTTGCTCTTGTTTTTCATTTTTGAAGAAAATACTTTTATTCATATACTTTCTTGATTTATCGGAATCACAATTGGAAGAGAATAGAAGTTTTAGAATTTTAAACCGTATGAAACAATTTTTGAATTATAGATTTTCATTAAAAGAATAATGTTCAGTTTCATATACAAAAAGTTATTTCTTTTTGTGTCCGCACTAAGACACTCTAGCACTACTAGTTATAGGGTATGGACAACCTAACCTGTCATTATTGCAAAAAAAATATCAAGGTCTATTGGTTATACCCCTGTCTCACCGTGAGAGAAACAAAGATAGTCCGTTGATCAAGTCCAGCCGCACTATCTACAGCACCCAAGAGTAAAACTACTTTAGAACTAATGTCAATCCATACACAAACGCGCACCAGAAAACAAGATTGGAGAGTATCCAAATACTATCAAATAGCTAACAACTACTCTACAATATGAAATAAACACATCACAAAACAACACAACACAACACAAGAGACATCACATCACATTTCAAATTGATTTGATCTTCATCACCCCTATCAGCTTTCGCCTATAGCGCCGCAATGCAATCTCATCCACCACATTGCAAAAAGAAAATCCACGCTGTGCTGTCATACTCCACTTCACATTATGAAATGGTGCATGGAATAAAATAATAGTATGTCTGCCTTACACTTTAGAAGGTGAAAACAAATCATGATAGAATTATGCTAACTACTAAATATCGTAATATATCTTTGACCACGTCGTACACAACTACAATAACTTCACAAGAGTAACTTCAACCCTTAAGATTCTAGTGGATGAGACCAGATTCAAACTCTCGGTATCTTGAGAATAGGTTTTTCAAACATTGGACTCTAAATCTCTTTCCTTTGTTTCATTTTCTTCTTTATTTTATTTTATTTTTATAAGTATTATTTTATTTTATTTTTATAAGTATTATTTTATTTTATTTTTTATGTCAACTCACATTGATTTCTATAATAACCCACCAAAGGCTAAAACTGCAGTATAGCAGCAAAAAGGGTCGAACCCACAAGGACAGAGGCAACACACAGAGTACAAAGTGTCACGTTTAACAGACTATTGAAGAGTTTGAATTCTCAGGCGACTGTCACTCCCAGAAATACTACAGAGGTGTGCCCCGAGGGCGTTTTCTGCAGCGTAACCTGAATTACAACCAAGGCTTACTCGAAGTAACAAAACTTCACTTTGGCATTCAGGGGAAACATTCCGAAGGAGTACAATCAAGAACAATCACCCGAAGGTGTAGGGACGAACCGTTCAAGTATCTAACCGGTTACTAGCTCTGAGCATTCAGCAATCACCCGCAGCTGTAGATCCAAACTGCTCAAGTATCTAACTAGTACACTAGCTCTGAACATTCGGCCGAAGGCCTTCAGCTACAAAATGCGGTATCTTCGTCAAGCTGTAGCTCTTCTTGCGCGGTGACAGAACTAAGGACACAAA